GCACATAAGAGAATAAGTGCACATATACTATGCAATGCTTGACAGTCCAGTATTTTTCAATTCTTGTTACCGAAAATGTCGTAACGGTAATGAAATCTATGAATCACAACCAAATGAATCGAATTTTATAGAGGTTCGATGAAATTTACCAACTCTCGCCATGGATATTTGCTTTGTACCGAGGAAGAAGAAATCGTTGCACTGTTCCATGCTAGCAATGAAGCCTGTTCCACCAAAGTTTTTTCTAAGGGATTTAGTTAGGCCATCATAGTATGCCTTGGCAAGCTGAACTCTGCCTCCATGGTCCTCACAGACATACTCCAGAGTCTGTTCAAAACAAAGAGGGAGGCCTTTAACAAAATAACACGAAAATTTTTTAAATATATATAGAAAACTTTTGTGAAAAGGAAAAATATTGATATAGTAGTCCAAGGTCTAACTGAAAGTCGAAACGATATTTTTCATTAAAATTACTCAGATCGAAAACCAAAATTGATGAACTCGAAATATGAATTCATTTTCAGCATAATTACAATAACTTAGTTACCTGATATTTGTACGGTGAACGTTCTTTTAACTATGGAGGTTTTCTTATTAAAAGAATGGAAACTGATGGTGGTGGTGGAAATTTTCATCCTACCATAAATATATCCAATGTTATGCAATACTCAATCTGATAAACACTTACATGAATAACGTCAACTTTCACGCCTGTAATACCGATATCGGCAAGGTATGAATGCATAGCCTCGTAATGATCTGCAGCTTGATTTGGATGAACGAGTCCAATACCGCCTTTTTCAACCATGACAACAGCCAAATCATACATGGTATTTGCCAATCCGACAGCCATTTTTGCTGAGGTCACCTTGGCATTCAAATTTGTTGTTCCAGGCCTAACCCCACCCCAAGCTCCACATAAAGCATGCCACACATAAACTTCGTCCAAAGTTGGAAATTTCTCCCTCAAGTCACTGATTAAGGCCTTTAGCCCTCCTCTTTCGACACCCTGTTGTTCTTTCAAATATTCTATAATCGTTGCCTCGGGAAGGCCCGGTTCGACTCCACCTTGTGCCTCAAGGGCCTTCTTTTTCTCCGCAAGCTCCACCATTTCCTTAAACATCTTGTCATGCTTTTCTTGATCGAATCCTGGTGCATCGTGTCTTAACATGGTACCAGCCTGATATTTGGCAAATTTCTCGTTTTCCTTGAACCGGTACAGCCTGG